TCCCTACTGGAAGCAGGCTTGTGGTCATGTTGGGATAAGAGCAGATATTTCCCCATTTTCAGAAGGCCGAGGGAGCTGACACTCAGAGGGATTGCTTTTCAGTTCCAGACCTGAGGAAAAGGCCTGCTGCTTAACATTATATTAACTTCCAGCTATCTCCAAGAAGAAGATAAGGACATATCATTTCTGAAGAGCGTACAAATCAAATCAATCAATAAATAAATTCAGAGCAAATGAAAGGCATGGGATTGGAAGAGAGATCTTTTTATGTAAGTGTTTAAGGAACAGAAAAGTGATTAATTGGAAAAGTGATTATTTGAAGGCTTTATCTAAGAAGAAAACTCTCATTTAGCTCATTATCTACATCTCATTTTTAAAAAACCCTCAAAACCTACATCAGACATGTGAAACACAAGGCCCAGTGGCCAGATGCGGCACACAAAGTGGTTTCATGTGGTCCACAAAACCATCCTGGAAATAGTAAGGGAACGGCACCCGCTGCCTTGGTCCTGGCCCAGGTCATCCGGAAGCCAATGTACAATTTTGTGGTGGCCATCTTGGCACTTGCCCCGGTGGACCATGCCTTGGCACTTGCCCTGGTCCCACCCCTTTCTGCCAGAGACCTTCAGATCTGTCCCATTCCTGCCCAAGCCCCCCATAGGCACCCTTGACGCAAATGATGTAGAACTGGCCACGCCCACCCAGTAGGCCACACCCACTCTATCCATGCCCACCCAGTAGGCTGCACCCACTCTGGCCACACCCACCCACCCCCCAAGGGCAATTGCAATGTTGATGCGGCCCTCAGTGAAATTGAGTTTGACACCCCTGACCTTCATCATCAATTTTCTTTGTTTCTTAACCGGTGCTGCCCCACCTATCGTTTATTTTCCTTAATATCTATGTATTCTTTGAAGTGAATACAGAGTACAAGAATAAATAAACCCAAAGAAATACATACATATGTATTAGTGTAGCCCAAACCTGGTTAATTGAAAGAAACCAATGACTTTGAAGATGCAGCATAATTTTATTTCCATGCATGCAAGCAAGCAGTAATAGAGTATTACAGTTTGGTGCTGTGACTTGAATCAAAATGACAGAGAAGAGACAGTCAATCATTTGCAATGCTTAAGGTTTCTGCCACCACCCTTTTCCCTCTCCAATCTGAACCAATTTGAAGACACACGTGGGGGGTGGTTACCTTGTACTACCACATTATACACAAACATACTCTCTATTCTCAAGTTAATATTGAACTATAATTAACAGTCTTTGAAAATGCATAGATGAGGAAACATATATCAGCCATTAACAGCAGTACAAAACCACATCATTGAGTGCTGTGTCATCACCACTGCCTTGATTTGGCTCCACCTTTGTTTGGATCCCACATACACCATTTGAGCGACAGCGTTTGCTCCATGGGCCAAAATCACCCCACTGCTCGCCATTGCCCATCAGGATTTGACCTGAACTGCAGGTGAACTGGATGTTGTTAGCTGCTGTATAATCACGTTTTCCTTCAGGTGGTTCCACTCTCAGAGAAAAAGAAACCAGGTAGCCTGAGCGGCAGTACTGTGGTACGGTCCAGATACCCCACCTGCCAAAAAAAGAGAGGTAAAGATGGATATGCAGCTCTTTGGTGTCTAGATTAAGCCCTTGTCATCAGGCCACTAGAATCAGGCATAATGGCTAAAACCTTGGACTAGGAACCAGTTGAACTCTATGTCTGACTATTAAAATTCATTAACTCTGGGCCAATAATTGACTTTCATTGGGCTGTTATAGGGGGGAAAATACAAGGAAAGAGGATCTGGTGGCTGCTGCCATAAGCTCCTAGGAAAAAATGGGATCAAGAATTTTTTTTTATCCCCAACCTTCCTTTGATGGCTTTCCCAAGACCGCTCCCAATCCATGTCACATTCAGAAGCCATTAGAGCACAGACTCCTTATTCCAGAAATTGCATTATTGTAAGCACCATTTCCTTCTATAAGAGTTGAATGAAAGAATTACCCACTAGTGAAAAAGTGAATTATTATTCAGCTAGTGAGTCCCTGGTGGAAATTCTGTCCACCAGGGACTCACTAGGTTTTATCTCAGGTTATATTAAATATGGTGTTCCACAAAAAATTAGAGTGTTCTCTCTGGTTGCTATGTGGCCCTTCCCCATGCTTTTATTTGGGGGAAGAGGATTTTGCAATAAATAAAATTGGAACAACATCTCATAGGCACAGTGTTGCCCTAATCCTGAATTGAGGCATTTTGATTGCTGAGACTTCATTTGCAATGAACCTGGTTAAATAATCTGCCAAATAGATAAAAGGATAAATAATAGAGATGCACCTTCAGTCTTTAATACAATAACAAAAATACTCCCTGGCATGTGACTGAATTGACTGGGATTTGATTTTTAAAGAGCTATCTCCAGAATTCAAGTATATGACATTAAAAATAATCACACTTCTGACCTTCATAAACAGTCCCTGTCTTCCCACAAAGAGAATTATAAGAATGGCATATAGATCCATGAGTTGCATAAAGAGAAAAGTGTGTGGGAGACTAAAATCAACAAAGGGGTGTTTGGGGCATGAATGAGTGTCAGGAAAGAGCAAAGGTTGGAGATAGATTTGCTGTGGCCCACAAAATATTAGTAGCTGTTTTGGGACCTCTCAGGAATAAATCTCCATCCATGTCTCAGCTGCTGATTCAGAGAGATCATTGAACAACAGTGCCTGCAAGCCAGCATTACTGATTCCAGTGCATCCCCTTCTACAGTAAACTAAGGATCAGTCATCTCCTCTCCCATTCTTGATGACAAGAAAATAAAATATGACAAGAAAGTCAGTTACTCACGGTCCAACTCTAGACTCAATTGTTCTGCCATTGGTACAGTACAAGCGGATTCCATTCAGAGCTGTAGCATCATGTTTCCCTTGAGATGATTCTACCTAAGAAAATAAGACTGATAAAGTTCAAGATCACCCCTTCTCCCCTTGGGGTCCTTCAGTCTTCAATTTTGAGAATTTTCAACATTTACCCATCGATATGGGACAATGAATTGGATCAAAACTAGATCTGCCGCTCAATGCCTTTCTTTGATTATAGAATCAAAAAGTGTTAAGCATCAAGAGACATCTTTTTGCCTTTCTTAAAAGTCAAAGTGAAAAACTGAAGAACTATTTTCAAGGGAATAGTCAGAAGTAAAGGAGCATCTGAAAAGTAAGTTTTTACCTTTAGGGCGAAGCCATTAGCATAGCCGTAAGAGCAAAACTCCCTTGAGCCCCAGGAACCCCAGGGACCCCCATTTGGTACAGTGAGCTTATCGTTGAAATTTCGGGCTTCCGTATTCCACAGGCAGCAGGAGATGGTCAGGAGAAGAGCGGTGCTGGCACAAAGATCCATGGGAAAGGAAACCAGTCTACCTCTTGAATCAGAAATGTCTTCAGAATTTGCAGCCTCCTAGAAACCAGGAATCATTTATAAAGTGTCTGCAGTACCACCCACATGAATTCATGCTTTTCAATTCTTTTGTTGTGTACCTTTGAATCAGTCTTAATTCCTGGGAACTGCCTGGACTATATTCTGTATTTTTCTTGGCAAGATTTCAGAAGTAGTTTGGCACTGCTTCCTTCTTCCTAGAGCTGAGAAAGAGGGACTGGCCCAAGGTCACCCAGTTTGGCTTTGTACCTAAGATATGACCAGAGCACTAGCCAGTCTCCAGTCTGGTGTCTTAACCACTATATCAAATGTGGGGCCAACGATGTGTGGCAGCAGCCACAGCCCACCAGACTCTTAGCCAGTACACTTTGGGGTTCTGCAGCTCACACAGAGCAAGTGGGTCCAAGCTCTGCGATTGCTGGGCTGGCCTTCCAAGCAGTAGGCAGAGGCAGAGGCTCAGGGGGAGGCATGTGATCTGGCCTGCCAGATGTGCCAGGCGGCCACCCACTCACATGCTCCATCCCACCATGTCTTTGTTTGCCCATGGTTGTGCAGCCAGGACAGGGCAGGCAGCCATGCAGCTGCCCGGCACATCCGGCGGGCTGGATCACATGCCTTCCCCCCAGATCTCTGCTTCTGCCTGCTGCCAGTGTCGCCACCCTGGGGTGAGGAGAGGAGAGGTGAGGCAGGTAGCAGGACAGGGATGGTGTCAATCTGTGGCCCCTGTGTGCTCGGCTCCCACCATCCAACCTCATTCTCCAGCTAAGGCACATACACAGGACAAGCCACCCAGCCACTGCTCCACCCACGACGGTCCCGGTGAATGGGAAGAGTGGGACACCTTCATCACCAAGAGGCAACCAGGACTCCCCTCTCTGCTCTGCCCCGCCCAAACCTAGTTCTGGAGCTGCTACACACACTTCGCACGCACACACCTCAGGTCCCCAAAGACAGGCCACACCGCACTGCCACCTGTCTTGCCTTGCCTTGCCTCACAGCAGTGGCATCAGCAGCAGCAGCCCTGTCCATCAGGAGCCTTGCTGCCCCTCAGCACCCCTCCAGTCCAGGAAGCCCAGCCCAGGCAAGGAGAGCGAGCACAGCAGCAGCAGCCTCGAGGAGGAGGCAAGCACGGCTG